TCAAAGATGGAGTTCTTGGAAGTGTCGATTTCAATGAAATCGGCACTTTGATGTACAGTGAGATAGTTTAGCTGCTTGATTGTCGACGTTTTAGAGAAAATCTTAGGTTCAAATTCCAGCCACAAGGTTGACAAACTTCGCACAGATTCTGAGAAAGTGATCACTAACTGATTTATATGACAAATTAAATGGCCCGTATGACTCAAACAGGTACTCATCCTGAGGTTTTCAGATGATTAGCTTGGTAGCATTGCCATATTAGCATTTTCAGTAAGGACTTTACAAAGTGCTTAATTCTTCTACAGTCGAAGGCTGAGGTTAGTTAATAACAGTTAATACGGATTAAGCATTCAGATTAAAAGTTTATTATTATATTATTTTATCATTGTTGAGCATCATTTTTCACCATACACAGCAGTTACATAACAGAAAGCGTTGGCCTTGAATCATGCCAAAAAACAAACAAACAAGCAAATACATTCTAAATGTCGACTTTTGAGGATCTGCAACAATCGTGTGTGGCGATGGAATTAACTCCTGACTAATAAGCAATTACTCTGGATAATTTTTTGATTGATTACTGAAAGACCAGATCATGCACCTACGTATTCGAGTTCCTCTGAAAACGTCGACGCAGCTTTGTATCTTTGGTCGCAAAGTGCAATTGAACAGGCCTGTATTTGTCAGGTCTTGGAGATCGCCTTAGAAGCACCCGTTGGTGACATCCAATCTCAACGTGTTTCATTACATTACTCGTGATGATATATACATCATCGAGCGGAGTTGAACTAAAAAGTCAATGGGCATAAAAATTTAATGCATTTCCCAATCTTCAGTTTTGGCCATGGGCTATTTTAATCTTATGGTCATCGCCTGATGCATCAGCTAATCAATGAGGCGGTCATTTTTGGTGACAGCCAAATTATTATAACAGCCATTCTGGCAGGCACCAGATTTTCGCTATAATCGTAATGAGGGGACACGGAAGAACTAATATTTGAGCTGGAGTCACCACAGTATACTTTACTACTTTGAACCGTGCTGTCTGCATAAATGATTTGGAAAGAACTAACGATGGCTGCCAAAGAGAGCATTTTAAGGCCTGAACATGCATCCGCTCTGCTCATAACGGCGAATGCGCATCATGGATCAGGACGGTTTTTTGTCATAAGGCTTCTGACTATTCTGTATGTAAATCTGACTATTCAGAAAACGTTTGCCACTCCAAATTGTACTCATAGCAGGTTCATTGAGCAGACTGCAGAGGAGCAACTGGTTTGCTCAGAAAAGTCATTATTCATATTTTTGGCCTGTTGAATATTTCAGCAGATAAAGGAACATCCGTTATGACAAAAATACGCTCCTGCCATGTCGTGGTCAGTACAGCGTCATTTTATGCCACAATGTCCGTGTTCTACTCAAAGACAACGGAGCCTTCGACGCATAATGAAGATTAAATTATATGGTCACACAATCATCGACTCTATACTGTATGCCCAGCGAATGTACAGGTCAAGCAAAGGAGGTTGAACCTGTAAGACAAAGTGATTGAGCATAAGCCATCTACTCCAGCAGAGGAGCCTTTCGCGTGAGAATCAACACATTTGAGAGGTAGGCTTAACGAGCATGCTACACGGACGAACACTGTAAAGGCGATGAAGGTTTCACTAGGAGTGAAATTATTTCTAATACCGTGTAATAAAAATGTCTTAAAGCAATAGAAATATACTGATCGCCTCAGATTCAAGAAAACGGTTAAAGATACTGGCCACAACAAACAACGTAATTTTTATTTTTCTGATATGACGGAAATATTTATTTTTAAAAGTTTTAATTTGAAAACTTATCATTTTAAGACAAAAAGGCTGTGGATAACGATAGAATTAATAATTATTATCCCCATGAATCGTTATTTGTCAAAATTTTACAATTCATGACATTTGCTCTGGTGATAACAAGCGTTTTGTCGACTATAACTTTTGATACACATAGGAAAATTGTTTCCCTTTGTGTCTGCGTGTATAAGCAAATAAATGCTTATACACTGGGAGTTATTAGTCGATGAGTCAGAATCAGCAGCGAGTTAAAGACGATCTATGATGACAAGGTGCTGTACAATAAACTTGCGCATTTCAGTGACATGCCGATTCACAAATTTGAGCAACTCAATTCCGGTCACATACGACTGGCGTTGAAACGATTGCTGTAAAATTGCACTACTAGGGAAATTTTTTAGAAGCCTTCGAACCTCGAATAAATTATCAAATCAGACAAAATGATAGTGAAGGATAAGGTATGAAGAAAATGTGCGGCAAGAATAAACATAAGAGCAACGATGAGGTAGGAAGAATGAGCTCAGATTAATGAAATTGACAGGAATTGTTTTTTCTTGAATTATGATGTACAGGAATAGCAATCGTTTGACAGAGGACTCAAAATGCTACTTTCTGAATTTCGCTGTTCGGTTGCTAAGACAGGAAAATCGCCCTAAATTTTCATGCCTTGTATCACCATAAAGAAGAACTGCCACTACGAGGTTATGGCGGCAAATAGAGGAAGGAAGAAGTGGAGTAAGAAGTCAAAAGATAGGAATGAAATGAGGGAGGAGGGAAAAATTGGCAGATGATTTTTATGCAAAAGGAAACGAAAAAGTAAATTAGGAACTGCATATAGAAAAACATTTTACTTGGAAAATGCATGAAAGCTAAATTTGTCCAGATGCGGTTCATGACTTAAGAAATTGTCTCAGCGTACGTTCTAGCAGTGATATCTTTGATCTCGCAACTCGTTTTTGCTGAGAGGAATATCTTTTATCAGCGCACGAAATTTGGCTTCCGGCATACCTGTGTACGTATCTGTTGAAGATGGTGCGTTGAAAGCAAACGAATGTTGTTTCTAGGTTCGGTCACGTTACCTCAGTGAAGTCTTGCTCTTCTGCTTATTCTGCTGAATACTTAAAATGACTTTTCCCTAAATCAGGCGCCAGCACTTAGACCTGTGTTGTCTTTGTTTTGAATCACTTGTACTATTCCATATCTTCTATATAGTTAGAGGTTTGGGATCATGCTTTGATGAAGTCCTCTCCCTGATGGTAGCACAATGGGAATCACCGTTATTGCAAATATATTTTGTAACAGACTATGGTAATATGCGTACATCTTTAAAAGTATATATTCCTTTTAAAAGCGTATCCTTTTCCTTGCAACGTAATAAACTTTGGATAAGGCGAAAGTTGATGTAAAGTGATTGGCGTCTGAATTTTAATCGTGGTGCTTTTTTCAGCTTTCGATGGTTCCAGCATTCTGTGCCAGGTTTGTGGCGACAAAGCCAGCGGGTTTCATTACGGTGTACATGCCTGCGAAGGCTGCAAGGTATGTGACCTTTCCTCGCTATTCGTTTGCATATCTGTGATCTTTGGCGATAGTGCAATTTCACTTCCCTCGTTATCCATCTGACTGAAGTTACCCATTATCCTTAAATATGATCAATCCTGTGCAAGCGTTATCTTCGTTCCAAAAAGAGTTGCGAGAGGGAACGTAATGCACTTATTTGGATGAGTACAAATATCGGCCCTACCTCACTGGGGTATCATTCCCTATTAGGCATATAGAATTGCTTCCAGTATGTGTTTTCGACCGCATAATATCTGACTGTGAAATAAATGATATCGAAGTACCAGTACTACGGAACGCAGGCGTCATAGAAGGAATCAGAGTTAGGAGAGGAAAGAGGCGTTATCCAAGCGAACTGATTAGAGAAAAGTCTGTTTCAACGGCTCCTCATTTACTCACCCTGAAACTAATGGAACCAATGTTTAGATCCACTTTGAGAATAAACTGCGAGAGTGAAAGTTGCATATAAACAACAACAGCTGCACTTCAGAAGTCAATAAACCCCTAGTAAAACTGATATCACAGAACGGAGACGGAGTCAGGTCTAATTCGAAGACTAGAGAAACAGAGTTAGCATATTTTGTATCACAGTCAAAAGACTGTTCGTTTACAATCCTAAGCTTTATAACACTGATGATCAACCAAAGGGACTAGAAAAAGTAACTATTCAAGGAAAAATTTAAATTTAGTTCGGTAGGATCGTAGGTGCTTACGCAAGGTAAGACATTAAAGGTTGTACGCCTTCGTGATCGCTGACCTTTGCTGCGGTAAACTGGAGGAAAAGGGGTCGTTTCTATAAAATTTTATAATTTATAACCCAAAACGGAAGGCAGTATAGGTAAGACTTAATCGTATTAAAACATAATCACTCGAAAGAAAGCTGCCTGTGCGAAAGAACAAAAAACGCGGTTAGATTCGACCATTTTACCCCTCGTCACCCTACCCCCAATGTTCAACATCTCTGAAAGCTGCCCTGCTACCATAGCTGAGAAGGACAAACCGATTGTCACGGAAAGAGCGACTGGGCGAAGAACATGCAACGTCTCCCGATGATATTCTTAGATGGCAGGTTCGAAAACGGACTTGATTAATTGCTGTGATATATTCCTTTTACCGACGCCATGCTAACAGACAATGATGGGTCGATCATGTATCTCGACTGGGAGGCAATCGGTGGACATCAATAACTATCAGCTGATTTCCCCTGGACTACATATGTCCACTCAATCGTCCAAGAACACGCTGGGACAATCGGATGGTCAAATCACCTGACCAGAGGCAAGAGAGGGAGCGGAGAACAGAGGATATTACACAAAGTGTCGACTCGCATTGTTGGCGCACTCAAAAGGACCG